GGGGGTCGGGTCCGCCTATAGAGTCTTATAGTACTGGCTGGGGTGCAGGCCAAAACTTTAACAGGCTGCCGTTCGAAAACTATCAGAGATGTAAAGTTGAAATTTGCACTGGAGGTACACACCCATCTGAAGTTGTTGTGTTCCAAATTTCAGCTTCCTATCTTGAAAACTCTGCCGGTTACAGCACTTTTGGTCTCAAATTTTTTCCCAAAACCAAAAAGATGCGATTTTCCTCTCGAAATTTTGGGTGAAACTTCAAAGTCGATTTTCTCGAAACTTTTTCCAAAATGCGAATTTCTGTTTTCGACTGAAACCGATTTAATATGTTCTATCATGTAGCATTCTACATGTTTTACACGTTGCTATTAAGTTATCTGTTTTGCAGACGTATCACACTCAAAGCTTTGTGTGGTTATGTTTCAAAATATGATATTTTGAAATTCTATACACACAGAGTTTTAAAGAATATACTATGGAATGGCAAACCAGTCATAATTAAATTCAATGCACATTTTGTCCATGTCAATTGTAAATTGTTCAATGACAAATGTTTCAAGTGTAGATTCCATTTACAAACTTTTCACATGTCATTGAGAAATCTCAAAAGGCAGTGATAAAACCTAATAAAAATGACACTTATCAGGTCATCTTACCGTTAATACCTTTCGAAAGAGACGAAGGACAAATGACAAGAAACGTCTTCAGTTTTACACTTGTCATTTAACAAATGTACGATGTATCTTTTCTTTTGTCATTTCACTTTTGTCATTTGGCTTTTGTCATATCTTCTTTTACGATCATCACGTGGCTGTCACATGATCTAAATTATTACAAATAGTCATATTATTACTCCCAAACAAGGACAGGTAACTCTTAACATAAAAAAAACATATTATACCTTTTGGGTCAAAATTGGCGAAGTTATGGCCATTTTAGTGAGGGGGTGGGGGTCGGGTCCGCCTATAGAGTCTTATAGTACTGGCTGGGGTGCAGGCCAAAACTTTAACAGGCTGCCGTTCGAAAACTATCAGAGATGTAAAGTTGAAATTTGCACTGGAGGTACACACCCATCTGAAGTTGTTGTGTTCCAAATTTCAGCTTCCTATCTTGAAAACTCTGCCGGTTACAGCACTTTTGGTCTCAAATTTTTTCCCAAAACCAAAAAGATGCGATTTTCCTCTCGAAATTTTGGGTGAAACTTCAAAGTCGATTTTCTCGAAACTTTTTCCAAAATGTGAATTTCTGTTTTCGACTGAAATAGATAGCAGACATGTTAAACTTTCGTTTGCAATAAAAATTATTCCTCTGGGGTCAAAATTGGCGAAGTTATGGCCATTTTAGTGAGGGGGTGGGGGTCGGCGGTCCGCCTATAGAGTCTTATAGTATTGGCTGGGGTGCAGGCCAAAACTTTAACAGGCTGCCGTTCGAAAACTATCAGAGATGTAAAGTTGAAATTTGCACTGGAAGTACACACCCATCTGAAGTTGTTGTGTTCCAAATTTCAGCTTCCTATCTTGAAAACTCTGCCGGTTACAGCACTTTTGGTCTCAAATTTTTTCCCAAAACCAAAAAAGATGCGATTTTCCTCTCGAAATTTTGGGTGAAACTTCAAAGTCGATTTTCTCGAAACTTTTTCCAAAATGCGAATTTCTGTTTTCGACTGAAATAGATAGCAGACATGTTAAACTTTCGTTTGCAATAAAAATTATTCCTCTGGGGTCAAAATTGGCGAAGTTATGGCCATTTTAGTGAGGGGGTGGGTGTCGGCGGTCCGCCTATAGAGTCTTATAGTACTGGCTGGGGTGCAGGCCAAAACTTTAACAGGCTGCCGTTCGAAAACTATCAGAGATGTAAAGTTGAAATTTGCACTGGAGGTACACACCCATCTGAAGCTGTTGTGTTCCAAATTTCAGCTTCCTATCTTGAAAACTCTGCCGGTTACAGCACTTTTGGTCTCAAATTTTTT